TAAACTCCACTGTTTACTTATATGTTATTTAAATGTTCACCGAACATGTGCATTGCTTTTATAATTGAAATAACTTATGGTATTACCATCACAAAAGAGTTTCACTACCATCTGACAATCTGGTAGTTAAGTGTTCATGATAGAAGGAAAAATTGAGATGCTATCAGCTGCCCACGATGTAGAACATTTCCAGAACACTGCTGACAAGAGCAAAAACAATGTCTCCATATTGAGAAGCCTTAAGTGGGCAGGTAGTGGAGAGGTGTGAAAATTAACCAAAAGAGGAACCATCAAAAATATTCAAAGGAAGGAAGGATGAGAATTAACTCCTCAATATGTCTGGGACTTCCTCTTGATTATTAAAATGTTGGGAACTAAATAGAGGTAGTAGTCCTCGTCATATAACATTATGAATGTCACTGAATTGTTTACTTTAAAGGGGTTAATTTTACGTGATGTTAATTTTTTCCTCATTGAAACAAAGCAAAACAATGTATATTCACCAGATAAAAATTTTAAAAAAATGCATAAAGGTTTTGAAAATCCTCCATGCAAATATGGGAAAATTCCTCAAGGGACTAATTCTCAAAATCAAAAAGAACCCATTGTGAACATCAGGGTCCAATTATAAAAATAAATCTCAGTCTATTCTAATATAAGAACCTTCCAATCGATCTTCCTTACCAAAGCAAGTTAACAAGGGGGAAAAATCATCAAATTTTGATACCAGAAATGGTCAACCATTCTCAGCCAGGTTGACCACAGGTGCAGCTGTGCTCTTCAATGAGCTTCTCACCTGCATAGACCACGTGTTCTTCATATGTTTATCCCCAGCCTTTGATGGAGTGTCTGGCATGGTACACAGTGGTTGTTGAATGAAGCAGTTTAACATGAGGCTTAATGCTGCAAGAAATGACCAGTTTGGTGCTGGCCAGTGGAGGACCAAAGCCAGGATCTACAAATAAAAGCAAGCAACATTCTCAGAATAGCTTATTTCTTTCCGGCAAGGCCTTCTGCCCATACAAACACCTAAGAATCTATTAGAAAGCTCGTGGAAAGGGATATTCCTGGACTCTACCTCCAGATAGTCGTGTTCAGGGAGATCTTAGAAATCTGTTTCACAAAAGGTTCTCAGGTGGTTTGATGCAGGTGATCTGTGGACCACACTTCTAGAATCCCAGCTCTAGCTTCCAACTCCCTAATGTGAGCTGTCTTCCTTAATTTGTGGCAGAAATGGAAGCTCAGGACAGGGACAGCCAATGTCTTTTCACATAAAGAAATGTGGAATAAATAACTACTAGACTCTTTTGACCTGTTTTCATTCAGTGTAGGAAATACTTTATAACAATCAAAACTGTCCAGAAAATGAAAATGACTCGTGGTGTTATAAGCTTTAGAAACATGCTTGAAAGAAACATTTCTCAGGGAGTTATAATAATTCTCTTGCACTAAGAGGGATTTCAATTGGTTGGCTCCCAGGGTTCCTTCCAACTCGGGTTCTCTGATTCTATATTAAAAACAGCTTGAGCGGGCAAAAAAAAAAGCAGATGATTCATATATATCTAACTGCTTTGAGAACTGTATATTTCTATAAAATAAGAAGTATTATTTACAATACTCTTGATTTGGGGGCTAGCATCGAACATGGTTTTTTTGAAGTTTTCTGAACTTCATTTTAATTTGCATGAAAAAAATCGAATACCATATGCATTCAAATAGAAATTTGGGGGATAAATTTTATTTGTACAGTATAATAGGGATGAGGTTTTTAAGACCTATTTTTGTCATTAGGCTTAATAATTTTTACTTTTTCTGATTTAAAAACTAATGGTGAAAAATTTGCAAAATTCAGAGAAATTTAAAAAGGACATAATATAAAGTCACATATGATTTTACCATTGAGAATTAACCTTAAAATAACATTTAGAGCTATTCTTTACCCCTCCCACTCAAATACACACACACAAACAAAGAAACTTCACACTGGCCATTTTATTGTAATTTCACATATACTTTGAAAACATATTCTTAATCAACAGTACATTATTCCATTAAGAAACAAATGGATTCATGCCAGAATAAAATGGCCCATGAGTCAAATTTGATGTTGACTGGTGGAAAACTGAATTCAGGAGCTCACAGCACCACCTTCAAACTGAAGTATGCAAAAAAGAACAACAACAACAACAACAAAGTATTGAAGATTTAATCAGTTTCCTATCTTCACACATTTTATTTTCCTGCTATGGTAAATATGTAATGAAAATGATTGTGTCTGGAGCATTGATTTACCTTTATATATTTAGGATGGATCCTCAGCTATGGAGACTTTATTTTCAGCCCTATGAATATTTGTAGACATTCCATGCATATTTTCAAAATGCTTTACAGGAAGATTGCATCAATTATGGTTCTTCCAACCATGGAGGGGAGACCTAACTCATTGCTCAGTGGCAAGTATCAGTATTAACATAAAGAAACAACCAGAAAATTTTCCACCAAATTTAATGGGCAGGAATTTGAAATTTTGTTTTTCCTTATTCTCCTTTGATTACTAAGGAGCAAACTTGAATATATTTGCAAGTCCATGTTACTCTATGTATCTTTTTTTCTTTTAGTGTTTTAGGTCTTACTTCAATAGTTTAAAATTTTGCGTCCCACCCAAACCACGGCTGCAGAGTCAATCTGGAAGAACTGAAAGGCTCTTCAAGATGGCGGACCAGAGGGAGGCAGCATTCGGTGTTGCTCTGTGATTCAGATCTCACCGAGTTGGAATACTGCATCTCTGAGAGTGTTGAGGACCTCTATATAGCTGCTCTCCACAGAAATCACCAGCACTGTGATCCCGCACAGGCTTCAGTGGTCCAGTAGGACGCCTGGCATTCAAGCAGGACCCAAAGTCCCAATTTCCAGCCCATGCAAGGGTCAGGAGCGCCTTAGTAGAATCACCTATCAAAACATCTGCAGATCACCAAGACTTCACTCCACTCCCATGCAAGTCACTCAGCTGCTACCTACCCACAGCACAAGGCCATTGCCCAGCTCTCCCCACCTCACCAGGCTCCCCCCCAACCCCCCCAGGCCCCCCCCCCCTCACCACCCACCCCACCAGGCTCCCCCCCACCTCACCACCCACATCACCAGGCTCCCCCCACCTCACCAGGCTCCCCGGCACTGAAAGCAGGCCTCCGCCATCTTGGCTCAACATTCTCATCATATCAGGTGAAGGCAATTCCCAGATCAGATCTCCAGCGGCCAGGTACCAATTTCCAACCTTCCCCCCTCCCCAGTGGCGGTAACCCAACACAGTAGCTGCCCAGTACAGGTGTGCAGTGCGACCAGGGAGCTGCCTATGGGAACCCAGGGTGAGTTTCCTCAATTGGGAACTGCTAGGGGAGAGGGAAACAGGGCTAAAGTTTGGAGCCTAACAGAGAGACCAGGAACTGGGAAATCTTCAGGAAAGAGAGGGAGATAGTACCGGGCACTCATACAAGCAAGCGGTCCCAAACAGAGACCCATGAGGTGCATTCTTTCTGCAGGGACTGGCAGGTGCCACTCTCTGCATCCAGGCACCCTGCACCAGGACAAATCTTCCCACCCTGGTTACCTCTACCATTTGGAGGGTAGAGACACCAGCTTACAACAGACCACCCCACCTATTGGATGAGAAGAGAAGCAGGAAAGGTAGGAATCTCTAAAGCTAGCTACAACCCTGGTTTCTTCCTTTGAGTTTTTTGTTTATTTGTTTGTTTGTTTTTTCTCTTCTACCCCTCTATCCTCCGGCCCTCACATCCCCAATATATGTGAAACCAAGAACTTTGCATGAAATAGGACTTTGAGGACTGAGTCATCTGAATAATATAATATTGAGGTGTTGTATATGCCCCCCCTTTTTTCTTTTTCTTTTCCTTCTTTCATTTTTCTTTTCCCCTCCAAATTTTAATGTTTCAACATCTGTATTTTTCTAAATACATATGTGTGTTTGTTTTCTGTACTCTACTGTCATTGCCTACCCTAAATTACTTCCTGTCTATTCTCTTGCTACTAACCCTCTTTACTAGATTTCTCCTTCATACTTCCTAAGAAATATTAACCTATATCCTCACACCCTACCTCCTCAGCATATCTTCCTATGCCTCACCTCCAGTTTATTGTCCACCATGAGAAACTGTAAACCTTTTTTAAAAAACTACTGATTATATTTTAGATAATAATTGAATCCAACATTTCTGTACATTGAGACTAAACTACAAACGTCTTAATTACAACAAATTGTTCATGGGTGATATATTGTTAATAGTGGGATCTGTTAACATTATCTTTCCCCACAAAGGAGAGGTCTTGGAACCCTATAAGAGCACTACAAACCTATAGGGTAAAATCAATAACAATCTAAAATCTCGTTGCCTGTGGCACAACCAGGATAAAGTATTTATTTATTTATTTTTAGGGTGAATCTCAATCTACAAAATTTTTCATGTTTCTTAGGGGGGAAGCACATTTTAAAGAGGAGGACATAGTTATCAAAGTTATTTTAATATTTTTATTCTTGAAATTAAAGATATTGGTGGTGCTAAGGTTTTTGCAGAACTATAAATATGAATGACTTTTTCAAATGCTTGGGAAGACACAATGTAACATAGATATACATTTTTTTCACTGCCTGCACCAAAATTTTGTTTTCAATAAATCAAAATAATTCTGTCAGAAAGAAGTAATTTCAGGTAATGTTTTATTTTCATAATTTAAAAAAGTCCTTCAAATTTGACAAGATTCTTTAACATCTACCAGAATACCCTACATAAATTACTTACAAAATCATGTCTTTACTATATGATATTTGTTGTCACCTAACAACTTTGTGAATCATCCTGGAAATGGCATCTCCCCTCTGGGTGACCACCAACAGGTGTTGGTGACATCTCTGGCTGATGAATATGAGTCCATTAAACAAAGAGTGTATAGTCAGAAACTTCTGAATTTCATACGGTGTGTTTTTGTCCCATTAATTTTTTCCTGTAAGATAAAACATTTGTTAAAAGAGTAATATAAATACAATGATAAATTTTAGCATTTCCATAGTCTTAAAATAATCAATTTTAGAGCAAGATTTATTTAAATGAGCACAACTCTCTAGACACGTATTACTTTTTGTCAATAAAATTTACTTTAATCTACTACTTAAACCTTCTTTTTTTAGAAAATAAACTTCTTCTGCTTATAAGTGATGCTTGAGATGCTGAGAATTCTTTGGACTGTACTCAGTTTCCTGGAAGTTTCTCTCTTTACTGTGTCATGCAAAGGAAATGTTGCTTTCTTTTCATTTATTTTTTTTTACTACCTTTCACTGCAAGATTATAAATGACAGATAGATATCATGGCAACCTAAAAAACGATCTCAACAAATCATATTTTCCAACATTTTTGTTCCTCCCCTGTTAGTTTGGATATCAAAATCTGTGGACTGTAATTCAACCAGTGCAAAAAGAAAAAAAAAAAAGTTTAATACTTACTTTCCATTATCAGTCTAAGCATTCAGATAAATAATCCCAAACTTCTGCATTTAAAACAAAGTGTTGTGGGTAAATACCAATTAATTCATAGTCTAGCTGCTTCATAGTGATATTTCTCTCCTTTCTTTCCTATTTCTCAAGGTAGTGTCTGGGTTCATGGAAAGAATTCTGTATCCTTGCAAAGAGGAAGGAGGTCTGCATGCTGTCTGTATTATTTTTGCTGGTCTATGATCTGACAAAAGCACTCTGGTCTTCTCTAGTCACTAGCATCTGGCTCTAGTGCTACTGAATTTTTGCTGGTACTGCTTTCTTTTTGTGTGGTTGGAGGGATGGACATAATGCCCTTGCTGATATATGTCTGGTGAATTTCAAGGAAATGTCCTGCTCAGCCTTCACTGCCTTATCTCAGCTCTTATGGTCTCTGCAGAACCTCTGGTCAGCTGCCTTTCATCTGCTCTTAGCCTCACCATGGTGGTCCCATTGAAGGTCTGTTTCATGGTAGTTCAACCAGTTGCTTGAGCCTCCTAGATTCATAAGCTGACTTACAGATCTCTTCCATACCCACCTTTTCTCTGCCATAATAGGTCATCCTGACCTTTCAGTTGCCCCAGGGTTGATGTGAACTGCATGTGAAGGTTCTTCTTAGCCCTTCTTTTTGATTAAATACAGGCCAACAATTTCTAAAAAAAATAACATAAGTGGCATAATGTGGCCTCTGAAATTTTTTGCTTTTTGCTTTTTTCCAGAGACTATAATTTTTCTGAGCTGCAGCCTGAAACATCAAGTACTGAGAATAATTTTTTTTTTTTTTTCTCCCAGACCTGGGTGTTTCAAACCTAACTTCCTTCCCTTTTACCTTTTGCATTTTCCTAAGGGAAAAGCCAGGACATTCAATTTGAATTCTTACTTCCCCTCCCTTGAATTCTCTCAGAACCACTCTCAGGACTGTATCTTTGTCTTGCTTTTGGTTTAAGTTGCGATTTCCTCACATCTAGTTCTTTTCTGCTCTACACTGAAGCCTATTTTCATTCCTCCAAGACTTAATTTGTATACATAAGTAGCTCCTAGAACTTAGAAACATCCTTTCAGTTACCACAAATCTCGATTCACAAGATTTTTGTCTCACTACACACTGATGATTAAATAAAAAACATGAACAATAACTCTTTTTTCCTCTTTGTATTCCTGTTTTAATAATCCAAGTCCTTCCTGAGATAACAGATGCCTCTGGCTGAATAAAAGGAGGGTCAATTAATTTCTTCAAAAAGGCTTATCCTTGTTATAGTTGAAACTGATGATAGTGAGAAATTACTTTGTCTTCCACTTGGTTTTCAAATTAATTTCTTAGAGATCCATTCCTTTTCTGTAGAACTTACTTTTTAAAAACAAAATACTTTAAAATAAAGATAGACTATAGTTTATCTTGAGCTACACAATAGTTTTCATATAGTACTAGGAGGATTTCAATAAGAATGTTTGAAGTTTCAATCTAATTGAAAAAGCATCAAGTATATTTAGCCAACCTCCAATATTGTGAATTAATGTAGGGTGGAGAGGTTTATACAAGGAAGAGACAAGATCTTCACTCAGCCAATAAACACATAGTACAATCAGAATAAAATGGAAGACTAGAAATAATTGTGTCAACATGTGTTTATGGCTTGTAATTGAAATAATAATAGCATAGTAGCTAAAAAAAAAAAGAAAAGAAAAAACAAGTATGCTACCATTTTCTTATTCTTCTCACTGACAAATATTTGGGGAAAATAGTAGGTACCCAATAGATACTTATTGCCCTACATCATCTGTTGAATAGCAAAAAGGAGTAGCCAGTCTGAGCAACTTGATAAGAAAGTGAAGACATAAAGCAGGAAAGGTGGGTTCAGCCTCACACTGAGGGTAGAATCAGGACAGGTGGAAATGGAGAAAGCAATTCTTTGAGGCAAAAAGAAATTAGCATGTAGAATGGCTTGGTAAATTAGACTCGTGGGCTCAGAGGACAGTGTTGTTGTAGTAAGCATTAAGTTGGCTGAACAACACAAATTCTAGAAAAATTTATTTGTTCAGATATTTGTTCTTGGCATTGCATCCTCCCCGCCCTGCCCTGAGCCTCCATATTTTTCATAAAGCAACTGCTTTTTTCATATTCTTCCTCTTCATGAGATTCCTGCTGGCTCATCCCACTGCTTCTGTTTACTTGGTCACAGCTGTCCATGAGTGTCTTCTTCTCCCAAGTGGTCTGAATAAGCAAGTTCATGGCAAATAATGAGCAGCCCAAAGGTCAGTCCCAATAGGTCTGCAAGATTGGACTTTGGGATAAATCCATTTTTGCTACTAGTATTTTTCTTCTAATCCTGCAGCTTAATTTCCATTGAAATAATAATAGCATAGTAGCTTAAAAAAACACAAGTATGCTACCCTTTTCTTATTCTTTTCACTGCCAAATATTTTGGGAAAATAAGAATATATACACTGCTTAAACTCTCTTCCAGCCCATAACTCTTCTAGAACTGCTTCTTCCAGAGTCCCAGTGGTTCAGGGACTCATCTCAATGACTTTTCTTTCAACTTTACTCTCTTTGATTTCCTTATTTGATACTTTAACGAAGATCTCTTAAAGTGTTGTTTTTCCCTTCTTCTTACGTTTCCAGAATACAAAGATCTGATTTGCCTCCTACCTCTCTAAACAATTATTCTTTTTGCCTCCTCTTGCTCCCCAAATGTTATGATTTTAATGTTATTTGTCCCCCAAAGGTTCAAATGTTGGGACCCACTGTGGGTGATGTTGAAAGGTGGTAGAAACTTTAACAAATGGAGCCTGGTGGGAAATGATTAGGGTGGAGGCATGGCCCTGGAGAGGTAGTGAGAGAGAGCTCATTCTCAGAGAGTGAGAAGTTATAAATTAAGAAGTCTAATCCCTGATCCCTAAACATCTCTGGCTACTTACCTTTCATGTGCTAGCCATGATGCCATATTGTGAACAGCAAGGAGGTCCTGAACAGATGTTGGTGCCATGCTCTTCAAGCTCCAAGCTTCAAACTCAGCAAGCCTCTTTTCCATAGGAAGCCCTCATGCCTTGAGTATTTTGTTACATCAGCAAAAAATGAATTGAATATACCAAATACAGGTGTTTTCTAAGATTCTGTCATAATATCTTTTTCCTCCCTGCAATATCTTCTTTGGATTTATACTGTGTACCTTGAGTATTACTTCTATGCAAAAATAATTTATAACCTCTATTTTCAACTGAGTTTTCCACTAGATTATAATCCTGAATTTCCAAACTATATTTGCTGAATATTACCACTTAAGATATTCCTATCAATCACTTCAGTTCAATATGTCCAAAGCTGAGGTCCCCAATATCCTTCTCAGGTGTCCCATTACTTCTCTGTGTCCTTGTCTGGCAGTATTGTGTAGACCTGACTCATACCAGTTTATGAAGACTCATTGTGGGCATTTTTTTCCCAATCCTAAAGTCAGCCATGGTGGGAACATTTATACTACAGATAAAGGCAAAAACTACAAATCAGGGCTTTGTTTTCTTTGTTCTTTCTCCTCTCATTCTTCCTCTCATTTCTTTCTCCCCATTTTCTGAACGCTAAACATTTTCCAGCATCCTACTAATTTTTGTCATACCACTCTCCCAGTTACTTAACTTTGAAATATGGCAGACATTTGGACTCTTTTCTCTTGCCCCCTAAATCCATTTCACTGTCAAGTTTTTTAATTTTCAGATCACTGCAAACCTTACCACCTTCATTACTTCTAGCCTAATTCTTGCCAGACCTTTCTCCCAGTCTTTCCCTTATCTCTAACTGACTGGGCAAAGGCTACTAAATTAATCTTCCTTAGGACCAGCTCTGACTACGGTCAAAAGTTTCAAGATTCTTCTTGCTTAAAAAAGTTTAGAGTCATTAATTTTCCATCAAGATAAGTCATAATCTGGTCCCCCAATCTAACTCCAGCCTCTGTCTCAGTGTTCCTATCAGGTGTCTCAGGATCCTGAGTTCCTACTTATTTATGGATCATAAAAAGTGTTTAGGAAAATCTGAAGAATCAAGTTATCTAATTGGCTATATGGGGACTTTTTTTTTTTTTTTTTTACTATGTGTCTATTTTTTTCCCCTCCCAAAGAATACCTTTGCCATTTCCTCACATCAAATCTTACCTATATATTAAGGTTCAGCCCAAGGTCAGTTTCCCCAGTCAAAACAATCCATTTCAACATCTAAGGACCCATCCTAATGTACTTTACTTTTATAATCACGTTTATAATTTTTGCCTTTCATTAAGATTTCCTATGAGTATGCTACATCCTTTGTAAAAAGTGAGCTGGGCCATGATGATTTTCTTCTTGGGTCTAAGGGGCACATAACCAAAGTTTGTTGAATAAGTCAATTTAAATGAATTAAACTATATTCAGCATTTTTTCAAATTTTCTAGTAATTTTTCTTTTTATAACATGTTCTAATGGAGGAAGAAATTTTTAAAAAATATATTTGTGATAGTAATCATTGAGAAATCGAGGACTGCCACTTAGACGAGGTTATGCCTGGAACTTCAGATTCCCTGCCTTTCCAACATTATTTTCCACCATACATGCTCTTACTCTTTACGTTCTAGGCAGAGTTTGCAAGGATGGATGATTGTTTGGCTAATATACATATTGCCTAGACGTTAAAGGAAAGATATTAAGAAATAGTATACTAGACCAGAAGCTCCATGAGGACGGAGACCATAACTGTCTTAGTCTCCAAAATAGTATCAAGTTTGACTAAGCAATATTTTGCAAAATTAATGAACCCACTTCTTGTGCTTTTGTCAACTCCATAGGTAGAAGGATGAACATCATTCCTAGCATTATTTTGCTGAAGTTTATATTTCAAAGTTTTTTTTTTCTTCCAAGTTATAAAACCACTGTGTTGTAGATTAAGGACTTTTTCTCCAAGGGCTTTATTGGTTTATTTATTTACACAGTTTGACTATATCTTGGCAGATAGCATCAGTAACTGAGCACAGAAAAAGAGTAATCGGGCACTGTTTTAAAATTTACTGATGACCTCTTACAGAAGTAATACTTTAACGTGGGCAACTTGAGTAACATCCCTGACATTTTTTGCCCTTGTTTGTCTCTGTTGCATGATGGCTAACATCCTTAAATACATAGGTTATAGTTAATGATCATGGCGTCTATTTATCTTGTCTAAATATATTTACTTTGTTCTAATTCTAGAGAAGATTGTGTGTGTTTGTGGAGGTGTTTGTGTGTGTGTGGGGGGGGGTTGTTTGTTTCTTAACATTGGATCAGAAAGTTTCCCCTTTGTTTTATTCTCTCATCTGGAAATGGCTCCACTAACAGAAGCCAAAGATCTCTTCAAAATATATGTACATAGACTGCTTGACAGTGCAAATTGTTAAACCACATGAGTAGATGGCATAGTCTAAAGAATATCATCATAGGCCAAGATCCAAAATGAGAAAAAGACATTCTGAATCCCATGAAGGTGACAGATAACATGTCGGGGCTTATACAGAATTGGTGAAACAGCTATTAATATTCTCTCTATTGCTTCTAGTATGTATTGTTTCCCCCATTCTCTCTAAGCTGTGTATGTTTTTATCAAATATTAGTATTTTGTCACAGCTGATTGCTTTAATTTTTGTTATACCTCATTCCTCATAGCAATATTTATGATGAAATCCCTGGTCTACTAAATGCACCTTTCTCATGCTGGCTTTTAATGTGCTCCATGCCTCTTGTGTAGCTAACAATTATTGGGTTTGGGCTTATGGAAGCCTCCGATAAAGTGTAGTTTCCAGAAACACATTTTTTTGGGGAGGGTATTTAGTGTTAAAATGAAATAGTAAGGCCCATTAACACATCTGACAATCCATTTCAAGATATCATGATTCTGAAATATGAATGTGAAAAAAGCATTATCTTAGCCTCATCCCTTCCATTTCTCTCTATGCGTCGTAATATTTTCTCGATTAGTGTGGTTGGTAGACTGTTGTTTAAACCAGTCAATGCAAATTAGCCTTGTAATTTCCTTTGTAATAAAAGTCTGTTCTTGCTCACCTAATCTGCAGTTGAGTATTATTCAGGCTGTTGTTTTGTGGTTCTATTAAGGACAAAGGAGTCAGAAGAGCGGTAAATATAATCTACTATCATCTAGTTCAGATATGGGTTTTAAATGATTCCTTTTTTTACATTAGTTTAAAATAAATTTTGTGAAACACTGGCTGTCATCTTTGAAAGTGCTAAACCCTATATTTATTTTAATACATTTCTTGGAAAATACTGCATAATTAAAACTTCTAACATACATAAGGGTAAATAAGGTATTTTTCAAAATATTTTAGAAGCTCATGTCCAAGGCTAATGACCAAACACTCATACCAACACAGAAGGAACACGTGTAAATTTATAAATAATGTGAGTTATACTTTCATTTCAGGGAAAGTCATTTGTAAATTAAATAAGCCTTTAGACTTTCTTGTTGATGATGATAATAATGGACAACAATAACTCATAGCATTATTGAGGGCTGCCATTTGCCAGATTCTTAAAATAAATTAACACTAATCTTCACAACAACCCTGTATATTTATATATGTTTTTTCCTATTCTTCCAGTGAAAAATCAAAGCTAAAAAGATTGTATAACTTTCTTAATACTTCATGCTGGAAAATTACAGAGTTGAAATGTGAAATAATGTCTCCCTGATTTTGGTACACATCCTCTTTGAATACCTTGCTTCTCACCCACAACCTCCAAATACTTGGATCTCACAATTTGGAAAATATGAATTTGCTATTAGGGTTTATATAATTGCTAATTGGCTAAAATAATTTATGACATTTTTCTATAGAAAACGTTTTTTCTTTCCATATAAATATTTGTAAATAAGATCTAAAATGCTGATCTTTATTAATTTTGTTTCAGTCTGGCACATTGTACCCAAATACAATTATCCCTTGGTGTCCACAGGGGATTGGTTCTAGGACCTGTGAATACCAAAATCTGCAGATGCTCAAGTTCCTTATATAAAGTGGCATAGTATTTGCATAGACCTATTCACATCTTCCTATACACATTAAATAATCTCTATATTATTTATAATTCCTTACATAGTCTGAATACTATGCAAACATCTCTTATACTGTATTTTTAAAGAATAATTTCAGTAAAATTGTCTGAATGAGTTTGGCACAAATTAAATTTTTAAAAAATATTTTTAATCGAAGTTTCATTGAATCCACTGATGTTGAACCTGTGGTTTCAGAGGGCTCTCTGTATAAATTGACCTCTGACCCACCCCTCAAGTCCCATAGTCAACATTAGCCACCTTTTCTGTCCTCCAGTTGTTTAGACCTCTGCCTAAGCTGGAAAAGACAAATGTTCTTTGAGCTCCTCAAGCAGAGCAGGAAGCTGTCTTACCCATTTCATATCAATATCTCTCACAATGTCTATCACTAAATGGATACTTAATTGTTCTCCTTTAGGCCCTAATGTCTACATTGGGGTCTCAAGGAAAAGGGTCAGAATCCACCACCCCCAGGTAGTAAAATGTGTTGAAGGGATAAGTTAGTCATTCAATTCATTGATCAAGTTCTTGAACAAAAAGAGGCAAAGTAGAATAGCCACCCCCAGAAAGAAAACAGAAATGAGTCACAAATTGTCTTGTCACCAATGGGTCCTTCATGGGATTATTTGAATAATAATAATAATAATAATAATAATCAATAACTATCAGTCAGTACCCCATTATCTCCTAATCTGTGCCAGCTTTTTAATATATTAATATGATCTCATTTAATTCATAGAAAATATGGCTAATATTATTTCCTATCTTAGAAATGAGGAACATGAAACACAGGGGAATCACTGCTATAACATGTCAGCCACCAGCTGAACATAAGTCATCTTCCTTCAACTCTGGCTTTCCCCACAACACCAAATCTGGAATTTATCCAGGAAAATAAGAGGTTCCTGTGTTTTATAAAATGCTACTGTTTCTTTCACCTACTTTGTGTAATTATAGATTTATAGCTGTGCAATGAGTTTTATAAACTATTTATATACTTAAAATATACTCTACACCAAACAAAAGCACATTGTTATTTTCATGGAATTATTAAATGTGCATCCAGGATTTGGATGCCATATAAGGTAAACATGGGCCACATTATTATTGCTAGGCCTATTTTATGGAGGGGTGAGTGTGCAGGGGCGTGTGGTGTGTTACCCACAATTTTAAGAGGATGCAATTCTTGAGCTTGATGATACTTTACATATAGTTTAATGTTTAAAAGAAAGTGCCCCCAAACACACCATTTCTATTACAAGCTAGATTATTCCCTATCAGATGAAAGACAAATTGGGAAATCTTTGAAGTGTTGTATGCAGCAGCAATTTCGAGTGATAGCTATTAGAAATGCATGTAACCTTATTATGCTAATATCCAAATAAAAGATGGGGGCAGAAAGGAAGAGTGAAATACAAAGCAAATAGTCTGTTCTTTACCTAGCGTCACCCTGGAAGATGTCTCCATTCTGGTTCTACTTCTTATTACAACCTCCTAATTTAGTTTGTGTTTATTTAATTATTTGTTCATTTCAGAAAGAAACTTACCAGTAAAATGACTAATTTTTTAAAAGAAACCAAATATATTTCAGAATCTCTGCCAATGTGTAATGTCTTCTAACACTGGCCAAAAATAGCAGTAGACTAATTTTGAAATAACTGTTTTCTCTGCAGAATTTTCAATGATATTTTCACTTGCCCTCCTTTCTTGAACTCCCGCCCCAGGAAAAAAAAAAGGGTGGAGGGTCGGGGGAGATAACAGATTACAGTAAATTTTGGCAAAGAATTCTATTTGCATCATTTTCTTAGAAGTCACGTGCTTTGGATTTCCTCTTGTTTATGATATATTAAAATGCCTTCCAGATGTTTTTAATTATAGAAAAAAAAACGTTTTCAAGAAAGCAGAGTAATCCATAATAAAATTTCCTCTTTTTTTTAATGGCCAATAAATTAGTATATTCCAGCTTATCAAACTGCCCCATAATTCTGAGACTGACCTGTTTCTAGAAGGTCAGGCATTGAGCTAGACAACTAGATTTGGGCTGAGGTTGAGTTTTACCAAGAACACTTTCAGTTCCTGTTTCCAATTGAGGCTGCTCTGTGCCTGGGGCCTACCCCCATGTAAAAAGCCATTGGCTGGAAGTGCTTAAATGTCCCACACAAATATAAACACCTCCATAGTGTTGGGAAGATGAAAGGAACAGCTTATTGATATTGTATATGCTAACATTTGGATGTGGAGGGAGACGGGAGAGACAGCATTTAACTGCTGGTCTCCAATGCTGTAGCTGGGCTGTAGGAGGAGGTTTTCATTTACTGATGTTGGATGTGTGCCCAGACTGCCATAGTAGAATTTAGGGAGAAACACAGAAAGGGGTAGAACCACAGAATGGTTTTGGGGAACATCCATGTGGAGCAGAAGAATAAATATATATGAAGACTGCTTCCAGAAATGAAAGGACTGGTCACTGGGGAGGAGTTTTGAGCACCCCCAAATCCCATCCTGACCCTCTGCATTTGCACATGAAGGTAACTCTTCGTTCATCCTAATATTGATTTAGAATAAGATAAAATTACAATTCAGTTAAAGGGAAAGAGGACGGGGGAGGGCTGGAAGAATTCTCAGACCACTTTGCCTGCTATTTTAAGCTTAGCAAGGAGATAAATGTGGGTCAGTGGGCTGTATTTTGTTTTGTTTTTGTTTACTAATATTATTGAAGCAGAAAGGCCTTTGTGGATCACGGACATGGTGGTTTTTAAAATGTAACTGCTAATCAGCTATCATGTAGAACAGACCATAAAACTGCAAAAATATAGATTTCTTATGGTTCAAAATGTGAATTTAAATGGGACATGTGCCGTTCTCACTTAATGGAGAATTTTCTGCTACTTCTCTCATCACCCCATCTCACCTCATATCTTTATTGTGACTTTAAGCATATTTGCCAAATATGAGCAAGCATGTTAATAATGATAGCTCTGGAAAGGAATTTTATCAAAGAAGTGTCTGCAAAAAGTGGTGCTTGAGGAAATTTTAAATAAAGAAAGTGAAGTAGTATGACAGATATAAAGTGGACAGTCAGGATTTATTGAGTACCCACTATACATAGAAGAAAGAGAGTCTTATAGAAGAAAGAAATTGAAAGAAATTTCACTGGACCAGAGTGGATGGGGCGACAGTGGAAAGCTATGGGGTACCAAGAAGACCTGTTAGCTCAAAGGTTAGAAGCCTGCAATTCACAGGAAAGCATGCAGGATTCAATGAGTATCTTGTAGTGAGAGAAAAGAGTGCCAGTAGGTCAAGGATGGTTAGGACTTTGAATTTTACAAACAAGCATAAAATACCAGAGGGAGACAAAATGCCACTATTTGTTTCTGTGGTCAAAATGTGTCTGTTGGGAATAAGTGGAAGATACCAAGACAAATGAACTCAGTGTAGGGTTCTCTCTTACCACCAGTAGCATCTTCAGTGACAGCAGAAAAGGGACTGGATGAAAGGAAATACCACTCAGTTTATTCCACTGGGCATCAAGACCATTTGACTCAATTTGAATGAGGAATTTGGAAGAATCTTTGGGAAATGTGACGTCTGGGAGAAGAGGGGATCAGCACATAAATGATATAAAACAGAATGAGTAAGGCCACCTCCATCCAGAACGAATTGAGACTTTTGAAGTTACCAAGTAGTGCCACCCTACTGTACCAAGATAAAGAAATATAGATTGAGTGGTTCAACAATTCACACTAGCAAACATTTATTTCTAACGGGCTATGAATTAAGCAGAATTCAGGCAATGTTCAGGAAACAAAAACCACCAGTAACACTAAAAAAAGCACTCCCTCAGTTATTTTAGCCAGAAATTGCACCTGTTGATGTTGTTATAGTCAAAGGGCATTGCTCCTCAATATGGGAAGCCCACTGTGATCCAGGAGCTTTAGTAGGAAATCAAGTGGAGTAAGGAGGAAAGAAGGGATAGTCCCCACCCCTTCTGACTTACCAAGTCAAAACTTCAGTCCATGGAGAATTGTCAGGTTTTTTAGCCCCCGTCTCCTCCTGACCAGCAGGAAAAGCATGCCCCAACAGGACGAGCCAAGAAAGGTAAAGGTCGACTGGCCGCCCACCTCAGCCCGCCCTCCCTCCTGGGAGGACAATCAGACGTTCCAAGGAGTACAGTCAAAGCAGGATCTCATTTAATAAGGAAGTACACACAGCTGATATACTGCACAGGAGCCAATCAGAATAAAGGTCAGAGGGGTGGAGCAAGTTCACATGTACACCCATCCCCTAGTCCTTCCAAGGGAAGGCACGAGCTGTCGACGAGGGGCGGAAGAGTCCTGGACCTATCCTGAGGTGGTCCGCCTCCTCCGTCACCGTCCACAGCACCACCTCCTAGCTGATCGCCAGGAGCCACATGTACAGCCTCAAGACCAGGAAGCAGGCAGCCACACCCTACAGAGAATAAATGTCCAAGCTGGATCTTACCCATATGTATAGGTAGAGAGAATATTACCCATATTGCCTAGGATATGGCCCTGACATGAATGAGTTAATTATCATGCATTCCAGGTAAGAAATATTTGTCCACAAATAACCTGAATGGAGCCTGAGGCTACCTCTTCCTTTTTCCATCTCTTCGGCCCCCAACCTTGTTCCAAGGAAAAGCTCATGATGCATAATTCCCATAAAATTCCCATAATTAATAATTCCCATAATTCCCATAAAATTCAAAGTCCTATGGGATGGTGACCATCCTTGACCTACTGGTACTCTTTTCTCTCACTGAAAAATAGTAGAAGCATTCTGGTTGGATGAATCATGAAAAGCCTAGGGAAGGCTGTATGTCTACAAATTGTGAGCTACAAAGCTCAGTGGTGACGGAGGAGAAAGTGAGAGCAGACAAACAGACACAAAGATTTTTTATACAACTGTGCTCTTTAAAGACTTGCAGTGTTAAATCACAATGAGAGCAGGGTACTGTGGTACATGCCTGTAATCCCAGCAGCCCGGGAGGCTGAGACAGGAGGATCACAAGTTCAAAGCCAGCCTCAGCAACTTAGTGAGACCCTGTCTCAAAATTAAAAAAGAATTAAAAACCGTCTGGGGATGTGGCTCAGTGGTTAAGCACCCTGTGTTCAATCCCTGGTACAAAAAAGAGAAAAATGAAAAATCACAATGAGATCTGAGAAAATTTACTAGAACTAGTCAAACCTCTAGAAACTAAATCATGAGATAACTTAAAGAAATGGTGATTTTTTTTTCTTAGTGTAAAGATGTAAAATATTGAAGAGATAGGAGTAGGGGTTAGAGGATGGAACCATACAGTTGTCTTTAAATATTTTGGAGATGCCCTCTAAAATAATCAGTAGACAATATCCTATTCTTGAGTGGGGGCACAAAGTTCAAGGAAGCTTTGCCAGTTTTGTTCCAAACTTTAAATTCCATCACTGGGTCAAGTCAGAGATAAACTGAGAGGGATGTTTTCAACTGGACACCCATCTTAGATGAACGGTTATACCAAATGACTCATAAAAAATTATTGTCCAAACTGGGGCTGAGGGTGTAGCTCAGTGGCAAAGCACTTGCCTAGTATGATCAGTCCCCTGAGTTTCAACCCCCAGTACCCAAACTAGGTTTTACACACACGTGCAAACACATACATGATGGAGTTTTCATTATGACAAATCATCCAGCCTGTTTCTAAAATAGAGTTATAGAGACACCCAGTTAAAGTTGAATTTCAGATAAACAGTAAACTGTTCTTTTTTTTAATCATAAGTGGGTCACATGTAATGTTTGGGGAAAAACCTATACCAACAATTTTTATGTTGTTTATCTGGCATTCCAATTTAACTGAAGTTATCTGACATTGTAAGTTTTAATTTATTCTACATTCTATCTGGCAACCTTCTGCTGTAGAAAACATACAACAAAAGAAAGGTGTGTGTGTTTGTTCAAAATTCATAATTTACATAATTAATGTAATAAACATAAAAAGCAGGGAATGGGGTGTCAGAATTCAATTGTACGTCTATGGCCATTATAACCTTGGGCAGATTGGAGGTATTGATCTTATAGCCACAACAACAGGTGGACTTATTTTTTTTGTCCCCATCTTTAAATCATTTTTGGCTGGATTATTTTACAGTTTCTAAGAATTTTAAGATGTGTTTATTTTAAGGTTGCTTTTTCTGTTCATCGTATTTCCACTAGAAATTCAGAAAGGATTTTGTTCTAAATGATTCACAGTATATCATGATGATTATTTGGCTTTATTAGTATCTTCTTATCAAATCTAACTTTTAATTCAAAGTTATTTAGTTGGATCACATTACTTTGCTGCTAAAGCCTGAATACTGATAAATGAAAAATTGAATTTCCTTTTAATAGATTATAATTCAGAAATTAAAATTAAAATCACAACAGTGGTCAAAATTTCTTACAAAAATTTTATTTCAGGTCAGCAGAAATGTGGTTCACATGACAAAGACAAATGAAGGAGAATATTTTTATGTTTCAACTAAAAAAAATTGCTATAAGATTAAAACATAACATCTTTATAAATGATAAGATTTTTGATATTTTAAAAATATAAATTAATTTTAAAATCATTACTTAAAACTCTGTACATAAAATATGGAGTTGTTAATATATTAAGTCACACTATTTTAAAATGCCTACTTTACATATTCACACAAAACAGAATTGCCTTGTCTAATATAGACCTTGACCTCAAAAGGCTTAGGCCTACTTTAGAAGGTAATGAAAAAGTGAAACAATTATAAGAAAACTAATTTAGGGTGTCATCAAGTTCTCAAACCAAAGATTTAGAGAATGGAAACAAATTATCATGGGGATGGAGCAGTTGGGGAAGTTTCATTGAGAAATAGACTTGGTTTGTTTCTTGCAGGACAGGTTGGGCATGCATCTTAGTAATGAGAAGCATGAAGGGCCCAGGAGAAAAGCAGTACGCACAAACCTTGGACAAAAAAAATAAGAATGAGGGTAGGAAAAGACAAAGATAATGTAGGAAGCAAAGAAAAAGTAGAAATGGAGTCTGCCCTCTGGATCTGCAGGACTGTGCCTTTGTGGACTCAACTAATAGAAAATAAAAAATATTTTTAAAAAATGTATTTGTAGTGAGCCAGTTATGGTGGTGCATGCCTATAATCCCATCAACTCGGGAGGCTGAGGCAGGAAGATTGCAAGTTCAAAGCTAGCCTCAGCAATTTAGCAAGGCTCTAAACAACTTAGTGAGACCCTGTCTCAAAATATAAAATAAAAAGGGCTGGGGATGTGGCTCAGTGGTTAAACATCCCTAGGTTCGATCCCCAGTACAAAACGAACAAACAAAGAAACAACAACAATATGTAGTCTATATGTAGTGAAAACATATAGACTATTTTTCTTGTCATTATTCTTTAAACAACTTAATATAACAATTATTTATGTAGGATTTACATTATATAAGGTATTATGAATGACATAGAGTCAATCTAAATTATGGAGAAGTTATGTTTAGATCCTATGCAAATGCCATACCATTTTATATAAGGGACTTGAGCATCAGTAGCTTTAGTATCTGCGGAGTCCTGGAACACTGTCCGTGGATCCCAAGAGACAACTGTATTCCTTTTGTAAATGGCAGGACATAATTTTGAATGGGAAATAGAGTTATATGAATCAGAACCTTAAAGACCACACCACAGAATTAGAATTGACTGTTACAGCTACAGAGCCACTGTATACTCCCACCCAAGATACAGGGATACAGGCATCCAAGAGTGGTGTTTCTGGTGGTATGCATTATGTATGCATTTCAACAAAAGCGGCTTAGAGTGCTTTGGACCATCATGCCGAAACTCCGAATATGCCAACTGACATGATCATTCTTCTTCTTTTTTTTTTTAAACAGATTTTCAAGCTTTTAGGGTTACTTCTATTCAGAATGAAGACCCATAAAGTCCTATCTGGATACAAATCAATACTGAGATCTCTGAGAATTTCAAGTGAGTTGGAGGCTTTGTGACCAGAAGGTGAGAAACTACCTTGATCCTGCATCCTTGCCACAGGCAGATCCCCCACTGACAGCCACAGGGGTTTGGCCTATGTCAAGGCTTTCAGATCAGGCACTGAGATTACTTGCCAAGCATTAATCTCTTTGAGACCAGACACACTGTTCAAAGAGATGTCACTTCCGTGCCATTCTCCCCAACTAGAGAGGAAGGCATTTCTGCAAGCTATATTTTTGCCAGCTCGTCCACCAGAGAATATTTATTTGTTCATTAATTTCTTTTATGAACATTGTACAAGTTACACAGTACAGTACCTCCTGATCATTTATTGCCCAGATTTACGCTCCGTGACTTGATGGAAGGTGCAGTTCCAGAATGGAACTCTCTCCTCTGAGTAAGCAGTTATGCTGCAATTTACAGGATCAAGACAATTCTTTTTAGACACTGTAATTAGCACTGGTCTTATTTATACATCTCCCTTAACATTGTGTCCCCTTTAAAAATACTTTTATTTAAAATGGCATGCAAGGAAATAGCTTGGCATGCCTATGGGGGTGGGGAAATAAACCACTGATAAATCCATCTGTTAAAAACCATGGTACACAAATTAAAAGAGTAAGTTAACATTATATGCCCTAATCTCCCAGCACCATTGTTTGTGCTTAGGATTTCTTGCAGAATATTCAAAAGATACATTTTCCAGTAGACCAACTCCTTTTGGTCACACCCTGAAAATGCTTTGCCTGTTTTAAATAGGTCCATTATACTCTCAGACACCTACATATTTAGTAAATCCAGCCTTAGTAAAGTAACTGGTCTATACGATTTCCTCCTCTATTATTTATTTTTGTCTTCTCCCAACTCCCTTTTGAACAATTCACAGTCACCAAAAGATGTATTAAATTCCTCACCAAAGTTTCCCTACTAAGCTGATTCTGCCTCTAGCAGAGCAAGAGGCAGTAACTCAACAGTCCTGAAATTTCTTTTCTTAATTCTTAAATGTTTCCCTTCCTCCATCCCATGTGAGATAGGTGAGAAAACCAATTGCCCCCACTGCTTAATGCTTCACAACTCAGAAACTCACTCCAGCCTTATGATTTTGAATCCCAACCCAGCTGGTGGTTT